ATCTCTAGTTTTTTATATATTATTACTAATAACATATAAATGGACTTCAAACTAACTGCTGTAAACCAAATGTTTCCTCCTGTACACCCGATACCCTCCCTGCTGTAGGTCAGGCTGGCAGCTATACCTCGAACACTGATGGTGTACATAAGTGCTAATAATGTACATGGCCATTCTGCTCTTTCTTGGGATTGTAAAAGAGATTTTTACCTCTGATCTTAAGCAGCAATGGTCTAAGTCTCTCTGTTAACCAGCAAATAAAGGAGGCCAGCCTTAAAGTACACACACTTCTGCTGTCTGCAGATAATGCCACAGAACTGTGATGCTTCCATGGGAAGCTTTGGGATCATTGCTGTGAACACCACCCCAACATTAACTTCTGAATGTTGAAATTGTGAATGCATTAGAGACTTATCTCCAGGATACTTACGGAACAGGTACTGTCATTGGTGTTTCATGAAACTACTGCTGTTTTCACAGTGACAAGGAAGACTGTTCTCTGTGCCTTACTATGCTATTTTGGAACCCAAAGAAACAGTAAAAAAGGAAAGATATTATTCTCATGAAAATAGAACCTTCAATATGCCTTCAAACCGTTCTATAGTCAGAGAGCTGGAGGTCATCGTCTGTATTTTGAAGGCTAATGGCAACAAAGGTCAGTTTTTAATGCTACATCTGTTGAAGAGAGACAATTAATACTGTGATCTACATCAAACTGAATAAGGCATTAGCAGCTCAGAACATTTGCATCTTTTTATGACAAGTTAAATGCCCCTTTTGTTTAGTAATCAAGACAGATATTTACTAAATCCTCCTACTTACAGACACAGCAGGTGTCTTGATAGCCAGAGATCAAGCAAAGCAGGTCTAAACTGAAGGGAGCTTACCCACTGAGACATTTTAAGCTTGATAGAATTATTGCTAAGTGATAAACACTACAGTCTAACCTGATTTTTATTCTTAACACAGTTCTTTATTGTCAAAAGCAGCCATTTGTTAAGTCTTTAGGAAAACTGCATAAATCTGCTGCCTGCAATACAACAGTTGGGAACAACACTCGAGTTTGGATCAGGTAAGTAAAGCTGTTTCCACGATGATCACTGAAATGGAAACGAGTAAAAATGGTTAAAGAGCCTCTAACATACATGTCCTTGCCTTATTTTTAAACCACATCAAGACCATACCTATTTGCAGTTCCTTAAATAAAGCCACAGGTCTCTAAGCGCCTACACTTCAGTTCTTCCATAACATGGGAAATATTTCCCTACAGCTCAGTAAATAAAATTATGAAAAATCAGATATTAAAAATACAAGCAACTTAAACATATTTAATAAACAGGTGTCCACATTTCACAGAGCAAGACACAACAGCTCATGCTGAGAGCTACTCCGCGTAACAGTGATGTATCATGTCAACTAGGGCTTTTCTTTCTCTTCCATGCAGTTTCTTCTGCAACAAACGGGTACAGGGTTTCTTTTTCTTACTGTCTTTTCCTGTTGCATTCAACCCACTCTGCACAACTACAATGAATCGCACACATTGTAATGTAACTATACCTCTTCATTTCCTACACCCCTAACTTAAAGTAGAAGGGAGAAGAACCACAGAGATGCAGCCTATTTGTAACCCACATTAAAACTCTCATTGACCATTTTATGCAACCAAACTAGAGGGATCAGAGAAACAACCTTCCCCTCCCAATAATTGCACAGAAACATTTTAGGAACACTTTGTTAGTACATAAATGCAGTTTAAATGACATTCTAGAAAAATCCTTGCAGCACTTCTAGTAACTTCTGTTATTAGGCACTGCCTATGACATGCATTGCTCAACTAAACAGGAAACTTATACCTACAAGTCACCCCCAACAGTCATGAGGATTAGAGCAATTCTTTCACAAACGATGTGTTTTTGACAGCTTTTCTACCATAAACTTCAGAAGAAGAAAAAGAAACCCTTCCATAAACTATGGAAACCACTATTCAGCATTAAAACTCTGGCAACACTGGGGCTTTTCTGAAGTGAAAGATACTTTCAGAAATAGGGATTTTACTATTCCACACGATGTCTCAAATCACTTTCATTATGCATCTCTGTGGAGATGTTTGAAACTGCAACAGCGCTGTTTGCTGTCACACCACTGGAAAATAATGATAATAACAAAAAAGCCAACCCACTAAAATACCTGCCACTTCCCTTTCTGTGTGCTTGCAGCTGACTAGCTGCTCAAGATAGAATCCTGTGGCCATTTCAGAATCAAAGTGCATTCAGATCAAAGTGGTTTATGAGAAATCACTGATGCACCTACTGGGTTCTGAGCTGCAATTCCACAAGGCATCGTTTCTATTGAAGATGGTGAACCATATTTTCACCCACGTCAAGGAAGATGAGGTTGTTTTATTTTCACCCATGTCGAGAAGAGAAGGTTGTGTTCTAAAGGTTTACTGCATCTGCCTCAGCTTGTAATTACTTAATTCCATTCCACAAACAGGGAAAGAAATACAGCAAAACAAAGCATTTTCACATAAAACACTGGGTCTTATGAATTCATATTCATAGCAAGAGACTGTTAAAAGGACTAATTTTGTAGTAATGGGGAAAAAGAAGCCATACGGAAGTCATCCATTTCTGACACTAAAATACTACACTTGTTATCTATTATATATATCCTATATAAGCATATATAAAATCTTAATGTTGTCCAGAACTGTTGGTACTAAATTAATGCCTTGGTTTCCAGAAAGTGTGCCTTGCAGGATTAGCAGTTCCCCTGTACTGGGCACACGAGTCTCTTCTTAAGTCCTGTGTGCTGACAGATCAGAACTGTACAGATGCAAGACCCCAGGGGTTCTGCACCAGAGTTGAAATGTGAAAGAACCAGACAGCTGAATATATGCTGGGCTTAGACTAGGGCACTACACCTCTATAAATACAGTAGTTTTCAGCTTCAGGAACACAAATCCACCGTGATGAGTCTGACAGCTTCTGCCTCCATCCAGACAAAAACACATGAAGCTATTTTTTATCTATTCAATTACAAAATGATTACTTATTAGCATTACTAATTCCATTACTAATCTTAAAACTAATCCCAAATCAATGCTAGAAAACCAATCAAAAGAACAGTAGTATAGATTCACTATTTACAAGTAACTCCAAAATTAAAACATTTTCCATTTTAAATTAGGAGAGTGATATATCATTTAATATCAGAAATCACTACAATATTTCCAACACCTTGAATCAGTAAAATAAAGTAAGCCTAAAACTGCCATAGGACATGGAAGCAGAGATGGGAAAGTACTCTACAATATGAGTGGAAGCAGCTCATATTAGAAGACACTTTGAAAACTGGGAATTCACATTAATCACTTGCTTCAGGAACCATTCTAGACACAGCTTTAACCTGTCACAAAGCCTCCAGGACTGACCCATCCCCAGTTTTGGCCAAAGGACCCACTCACACCAAGCACAAGGGCTGGCCTCTGCCAACATCGTCTTCATATGTGGAACCTGAAGCACCCACCAGGAAACTGGGCTCTTGAAACTTTAATGTTTCAAATCCTTTTCTAACCCATACATTAAAAGTATGCTTATTTATACCTCAGGAGTATCTGAAATGCATGTGGACCTCCTCAGCTGTCTACAACAGCTTCTCAGTGTGGTGCTGTTAACTGAAACTAAGTTCAAATCCACAGCGCACTAACGCACTTCACAGCTACTTGACTGATGAGGAGTAGAACCATGTTCATCCTGCACTGAGAGCACCCACATGAGGAATAAATTCTGAGCAGCCAATGGATTGTAAAGTCAGACTTACTTTATTAACTGAAGTGCAAACTGACATGTTATTGGAAAGATGTGGAAGGTAATTTATGTGACTATTATCAACAAATCAGACATTAAAATACTAAAAGATTAAGTTCAGCTGATAACAATTCAATTTCCCTAAAATTATAAATAATTGTCAGTGTAAAGAATTTACAGATTAAAAGCTAGAGATTTTATTAATGTCTGCAGTGATTTAAGATAGCCTCTATTTATGCCAAATACCTAAGAGATTATAGAAATAAAGGAATACAGACTTCAGCCCTGTGACTTTTATTGAATAAAAGTATCTTCGCAGTGCCTCTATCAGCCTAGATAAGATACAGCCTAATACTCAGCTGAATAGTTCTAGCAAATCACTTCTGGTTCCTTTCAGAATAATCTGTTTTCCCTAAAAATTATTTCTGTAACTTTGAATTTAAACTGGCTGAACATATGGAAATAATATTTTACATAATCGAAATGGAAGCAGCGTAACAAGAGTGGATCTTGTTGTAAGTGCATCTGCTGGATGTAAACCACTCCTCCGCTCAGAAAACATCAGGCTTGTTGTGTCCTGATTAGATTTTTAATGTACAAGGTCAGCAAAAGAGCTGTTCCAAGTTACTTAATGAAAAGTGTCTTCTGTTTGCTGCGGAACGTTTTTGAGGCCGAGCCACATTTGAAACACAAGTTTTCACACACAAAGTGGATATTGCAGAGGAAAAATCTACTTTAAAGGTCTAATTTATGGATATAAAAAACACCCCCCCCAACATAAAATACTAAACCAAATTAAAATATAACTGAAATAAATACATCTTTAACATTTCCCTTCCTCTAAAATCATCCAAAGCACCAAGTCTTCAGTTTGGATTCTTTGCCTACTCTGTATCTACTCTCAATCGAAGCTGGCTTCATTCATCTGATAAGGCAAGACCCACTGACACCACCGACTCCCATTCTGGTTTACTGCTACCACTTGAGAGCCCATAAATCTGGGTGCCTCGGTTCTTGCTTTACTCTGTTAATTTTTATGGCTGACTAGAACCCTGAAGATGCAGCTTTACGATGGGACAAGAACCCAGACAAATCCCAGGCAGGCTGTTGGGTAAGACAGAGCACAAGTTTAGGTAATAGATTGGATTAAAAAGTTGGGGATAGTTCAACAACTATTCCATATTCACTTACTTCAACGTCTCTTCCAGTTTGCGGATTTTCTTCTGAGCATCCCCTCTTTCTTTATCCAGATCATTCCGGATGCCATGAATCTACCATTGAAAGGAAAAAAACCCCGTATTTTAGCTAAAACACAGTCAGATCTGAAAATGAAGTTATTTTAAATTACAAAAACCTATTTATTTTTGATATTTTTTTGCATGGATGCAGACAACCACGCTTACATTCCTAACATAAAATGCACAAATAAGAATTAACAGAGACGAAGCATGAAAATACAGCAAATACAATTGTTCTTGTCAAAGTGAGTATTATCCTCTACAATAAAGAAATACCAGTAATGACATAAAACAGATACGTATAGGAAAGCACATAGAAAAATGCCTAAAAATAATGACATGTATTCCTTATGGTGCAGAGTTCCTACCTACCAATTTGTGAATACCCAAAGCAAAGTACTTTTTCTCCATTGTTTCCACAATAAGAGTACCAAACATAATGACAGTAATTAACTTTGCTTTAGAGTCATACTCAAGCATTAACTATCTGAGGGTAGATACTCTAAGAAAAGTAACACTCTGAGGAAAAGTGGTTTACTACTAATGAAGTCCTGCCCCACTGAAATCAACCCAGAGTGCTGGAATCATTATATAAAGCCTTTAATTCTGTGTAGTCAGAAGTGTCAGAGTACAGTCATCCACTGCAAAACCAAATGTAGAGATTCTTTGCTATGAGCAGCTCCCTGTAGGTGTTTATTACACAGAATACTTGGTTTGAAAGAGCTTTGAGCCCGATGGGCTGCCTATAAGTAAAGAAGGTACTGCCAAACCTGGTATAATCCTATATATTCAACAGCTGGCTCGAGAAGGGCTCTCAGGAATAACGTGTCCCTGTTCTTATCCTTAGCTCAGTGTTTGGAAAACAAGTGGTAGATTATTTATAAAAAGCAGGTGTTTCCTTGGCTTGTAAAACCATTCAGTTTAACTGGTTCCTGATTCAGCAGATAAGGACACTGAATCAAACAGTGACATTTAGGGTTACTACCTAGTTTTTGTTTGATGTTTAAATATCCTAGCAGGCAATAGCCACTGTAGACTAATAAAGATTATTAGATAATGGGTAGGTTCTTAAGCGAACAGATTGCACCAGAGACTTCACTACTCCTTTACTTGAGGGCAAGCTTGTTTTAGTATTTTATGGGCCAATCCACATTATTTTATGGATTTATATCCCTAGATTCTTCCCATGTATTTTTTTCTCCTCCTTTCTCAAAGATTTGCTTTAGAAAACACAGTTGCATCACAGTTGCAACTCGGTACCTGTCCTTACTGCTGTAGAAGGATCACTGACATGCTCTTAGCCCATGCTATGTACCATCCTTCCAAATGATCCTCAAACCTCAGTCAAGATTCACACGGGACAGGCAGCACTGCAGCAGGTAGCATGGATGCCTCCACCTCACTGCCCAGAACTGTGAAGTTTAATAGTCTAGATGTGAGCAATTTGATAGCATTTGGACTTGGTGCCTGCAAATATCACCAGTCACTTTTAGTCTGTACTTATCTGCAGTGGAAGTGATGTATTGCAATAAACCAGTATCTACTAAACTACAATAGCCAGAAGATATCAAAATTATACTACTATATCTTTATTTTGACCTGCAATATTATTAAATCCTAGGCTTTTAGTGAGCCAACACTCATAAAAAAACCTGACTTATCTAAAAAGACAAATGAAGGCTAAGACCAGACCAAAACATATCTTGGAATGAAAAAGTATTTGAATTCAAGTAAGCAGAAAGCACTAACTCAAACCAAAATCTCACAATTCATGCTGCAAATGCTATTACCAAATGATGAGTAATGACCACAATTCATTATTTTATGTTATAAAATTACATTTGGAAATGATATGTTTGTGTAACATCCTTTCAATTAAACAGGCATCCAACGCACCCTCTTTTGCACGAGTTCAATGTCACTAAAATGGAAGTTTAATTTGAAACCTATTGATGTTTGAAGTCTAAAAGAGTACACAGTATTTGTAAAGTGCATTAAGATGAAGTGGGTTTGATGAAAATTCAGTTTCTTAGTTTCAGCTTCTGATGTTAAAACAATGCATGTTGACAGTACTTAGGGAACACATTCAAATCATGGAGGAGTATGGAAGAAAGATATATTGTGGAAAGGACATAGGAATACCCACAACAGGTCAGGCTAAGTTCAACGTAGTTCATTATCTTTCCTCTAGCAGCAGTTAACATCAGCTGCCAAAATGAGTGTGTACAAACAGGCCAGGCTCACAGTGGCACATCTTTGGTAAGGTTCTCCCAGCCTCCAGTGGTTGACAGCAGACTCCCAGCCTCAGAGGCGATACCTCTGTCTTTAGAGAGCTCGACTTAAAATCCTCCTTGAATTACTCCAATTATCTTTCCAACCCATGTAAAATGTTTAGATTCCAAAATGTACTTCTTGAGGCATTTCAGAATTTCAACCTTCAGCTTCCGTATACCAAAAGAAAATGGAAATATGGCTAAGATGGTGTATTTTCCTGATAACATTACCTGTTTTTCATACACACGCTCCAAGTGAAGTTTCTCCTGTTGAAGCTTGTATTCTTGATCCTGCAAGGGAAGAGATATGATTTGTCTATTTAGAATACACACTTTCCTTTCATTTCAAAGTAGTCATTAAACACACACATATTTGCTATTGTATAGAACTGTCCATAAAAATTCATAAGCCACTTTATATCATTAAAGACTTTTGACATACAAATTAAAACAACAGCAAAAATATCCACATGTAACAAAACTATCTTGAAAGTCGTGATTCATGTTTTCTAAGGAGAAACAGCAACTTGCTCTCCTGAGCTATTAAAATGACATTCTGTACTACAGCTGTGAAACGAAAGGCACGGGAGGAAAAGTAGATGCCAAACTGAAACAGGATGGATACATGATATGGATGTGGAACTCATTAGCCTGAGATAGAAGGATTCATTTAAAAGCCTATAGGAAGAATGAATATTGAAGTGAACTGTTAAATAGCAAACAAAAAGTTAAACTATTTTGAGACTTACTTTAAAAATGTTTAAAGTTTAGGAAAAAAAAAGAGATATGCAATTCTTTGATATGCTTCCCTATAATATTTATATACCTTGATATTGATTTAATATGTGCATGAAGACCTCATAGCAGCCTTCTGGTATCTGAAGGGGGCCTACAAGGGTGCTGGGGAGGGACTCTTCACTAGGGACTGTAGTGACAGGACAAAGGGTAATGGGTTCAACCTTAAACAGGGGAAGTTTAGATTGGATATAAGGAAGAAGTTATTTACTGTTAGGGTGGTGAGGCACTGGAATGGGTTGCCCAGGGAGGTTGTGAATGCTCCATCCCTGGCAGTGTTCAAGGCCAGGTTGGACAGAGCCTTGGGTGACATGGTTTAAAGTGAGGTGTCCCTGCCCATGGCAGGGGGTTGGAACTGGATGATCTTAAGGTCCTTTCCAACCCGAACTATTTTATGATTTTATTCTATGAATTACAACAAGTAGTTAAAAAGTTCTCTGCTTTTACACACAGAGTGACGTCTTAGTCATACTTTTTATATCAACTTTTAAGCATGAGGTGGCACTTTATCTATTTCTTTGAATTAAACACATGAAGATGCATGTTATATATAAGTGCATTTTAGTAAGGCCATCTCAGCATTCAAATCACTGGGACAAGTGAAAAAGAGTTTTTCATTCCTGAGGAAGAAATTCAGGACTCACCCTCAGCTGTTGCTGTCTTTGATGTTCTGAATCTTGTAGCTGTTGTTTTAATAGAGCTACACTACGCTGTAATTCTTCAATTGCATCGGATGCCTGCAGGGATTTAACAAAACCAGGAACTTGTGTTGCATTCCTCATTGGCCTCACAGATACATCTTTAATGAGCTTACATTTATTTCTCAAAGGTGCCTGGAAACTGGAAAAAAGTATCAAATTGGGAAAAACCCCACATGTACGAGTTTACATCTCTGGATATGTCACTTGTGGCCACCTGGTTAACTTAGAAATGTGAACAAAACCACTAGAAATAGACAATAATAAAACACCCTTGGCACTAACAACTGAAAGAAGGAAAGAAAAATACCTTGGAAATGAAATGGAGTAAAGTAGCATCGAAGCTCCCAGAATTCCAGTAAAAAAATGCAAAAGGCCCCATCTGTCCTAGGGCTCTGAGGATTGGCAGATTTAAAACACGAGCCTTTTCTACAAGCATTTACCTTGAAAATCGCATTAAATATACACCATATATCTACCTGTGCATATTGGTGGATATCTGGACTTTCTAAAGAAGCACACAAACAAACCCAGTGCATTAACTGTCCCTTATCTGAATCAGCTATGGAAATATCACCTGTATGTAGTTATACACACACCAGAATTGTCAGACAACTTCAGATGATTTTTCAGTCACATTTGGGAATAAAAAAGTAAATCACAATTTGTTATTTAAACTTACGCCCATGAATAACTTCGGGAACTGAAGAGTTCCTTGGATTTATTCATAAGCATCACATTTCTATTGAAGAGACCACTTCAACAACATTTTAATGCCTGTTACATGTGGAAGCATACCTTAGCTGCAGAGAGAGCATGTTCCTGCTTTATAAAATTTATATCAACATCATATTTACTTTGTAGTTGCTGAATGTTCTTCTCGTATTCCTGTATAATATGGTCCTTGTCTTTCTGAAGGGAGCTGTGCCTACAAGTAGTGAGCAAACAGAATATGGAAATTGCTTTCATATTTTGGCATTTTACCTGCTCAGTATGAATTCTAGAGTATGTGAGCCTGCCTGCAACTGCTTGTTGTAGCAGAATGGAACACTTATAAATAACGGAAGGATAACATCCTCCTTCCAGTGGTCACTTGGGTCAGTTCCTAAATGAGTTTTACATCAACTAATACAAAGTTAAAACCAGCAACAGTCAATGAATTACCTTGCTTTTGCTTCCTGAAGTTCAGAGCACAGCACCTGGTAACGCTGTTCTGCATCAGCCTTTTCTTGAGATAACTTTTGACGCTGCACATTACTATTTTCAGCCTCCACAGTCAACTGCTGGACACGAGCCTCCAGTTCTTTGACAGTCTGGTTCTGAAAGAGCAGGTTGAGAACACCAGAACAAATTAGGGGATGCTCCTGTTGTTATTCAGTAGCCTAAAGCAAGAAGGTTCTTTGGTGGTCCAGAGGCACAAGAGTTACAACAGCAGGAGTGTCATCAATCACGACCATAAATTCCATGTTGTATATAAATACATAAATCTTCAAAATACGGAGGTCTATTCCCCCCTGTAAAGTAAAAAATCTTCCTCCCCAAGCAGAAGAATGTGTGCAATTGATTTCTATATTCCTACTCTTTTAAAATGGGAGGCACAACAGACATTTCTAAGGAAAAACCGCAACGGATGCACATAAAGCATTCTTAGACCTCCCATGAACCACAGAGTGTGTTATCACTAGCACACCCTAACACAACCTGCATGTGGGAAGGGGTACTTGAGGAAAAATATATATATATAAGTTTTTACTGATTGTTATGGTGATGAGCAGCTATAAAAGTCACCTAGGAAACATATTAAACTGTTAAAGTCAGTTAAAACTAAAGTCAGTTATTAAACTAAGTCAGTGAAATCTGTAGCTTTCGTGCTGAAATATTCTTCAGAGTACTTTTACAACTACTGTAGGTTTATAGACATAAAAATAACATATCTTAAATTCCTAAACTAAAACAAGGAGCAATGCACTCAGGTTGCTGAAGAATGATAGATTTTAAACAACTGCATTTATGTGCACACTTTGGAAAAACCACATCCAAGGACGTAAACTAAAAGATACTGTAATATCTGCTGTGGATTCGGAGGATGTAAGAAGGTTGTAATACAAATGCTGCATTCACAGTGCAAATGTTACCGAGTAGTGTTTGAAATCAATTAACAAATATTAACTATATCCACTGATCATCTTGTAAGGTAAGTGTATTGCCTCCATTTCATTACTAGAAAACAAGTGTTGTGCATAATCTGCATCAGGACTGGGAGTGCATTCCCTCAAGTGTCTGCTGGTTTACCTTTCCCTAAGCTACTTCTTCCCATCATTTGTTCAATTACAGTGATTTCCTTATGATGATTTAAAAACATCTGTTAAAATGTGCATTTTTTCCCCAGAACTTCATCCTGTAACATAAACCATTTCAACATGAGCAGAATGAGGACAGGCAGGTAGCATGAGGTTACTACTTCCCATTCTTCCCTACATTTATGTTAATAAGCATGGAAGTGAAAGAACTCCAGAGCTGGAGTCAAAAACTAAGATGCAGCTGCCCTTCCAGGATGTGTCATAGTTATTTTTACATCAACAAAGGTCCAAAGGGAAGTGGGACAGTGTTTTCACCCTCTGTTAAAGTAAAATCAAAACTCAGTGCCTCAATTGTCACATAGCATCACAGAATGGTTTGGGTTGGAAAGGACCTTGAGACCACCCAGTTCCAAACCCCAATAAGCACGGAACTGTTAAATGAGCTTGGGCTAATGCAAGAACCTCACACAGCCAGAAAGGTCACCTGAACTTCACCAACTGGCTTAAGATACTTCAGAAACAGTGCAGCAAAGTTTTCCATCACTGCAAAGCCAGCTGCAGGGTGGGGGTTTGGCTGGGATTTTTTTGCGGTTTGGGGGCTTTTTTTGTCTATTTTGGGGGTGGGGGGTTGTTTGGTTTTTTTTTTTTTTTTAGAACAAATAAAAAAAAGCAAGCAAGTAAGAAAAGTTATACCTAACACGTTACCAAACATCATAATTCCTTCCCAGCCCCCAGCCCTCGAGGAAGTTAATACATGTTCAACGCACAAACCCCTGCTTATCACTCCTATGGTATTAAATAGTTCAGGCAATTTCAGTTGCTAACAGCACTGGCATTCTCAACAATGTGAAACTCTGAACAACGGAACTCTGAAATACCAACAAAACCACCAAAAATCAGGAGAGAGAAAGAAAGAGAAGAGAGAAAAAAGAAAACTAATTTCCAGTGACAGACTCGTCTTTCATCTTAAGCCCTGCCTTGAACTCTACCTTGTTTAATTATTAAATCAGAAGCTGCTCAGCAAGATCTGTCTACTTTTGATGGTTCTTAAATTCAATCCTGCTGACAGACTGTGTCCATTTTCCCTCTGTATTTACTGTTACCTATGCCATGATCTGAATGCTAATTTTTGAATACAACATTCATTAATAAAGGAATAAATTTTATTTGACATCGTCTTTCCGCTCATCCCATTTTCTTCGTACCTCATCCTCATAAAAAGTACAGGATGCTTTCTTGAGGATACCTGTTAATTTTTTGCCTTTTTACAACATTTATAGACCAGGCAGAAAATCCTGCTTACACATTTCTAATTATTCTAGGAAAGAAATGCAATAAATTGGAATAATGCAATAATTATTAAAATATGGTTTATTTGCTCTTTAATCTACCAGAAGCATTTGATCACTCAAAGAGGAGGTCATAAGTAAGAAGTCACATGTACTTACGAAAACAGCCGTACTATCTACATCCTTATTTATAACTTGAATCGAAGCCAGTAAGAAATGCTAGTCCCTCAGCACAAACACATATCTGAGCAACATTCACTGAAGGGCTGTACTTCAATGAGTTTTACCTGGGAGAAAATCATTGGTTGGATCAGCTTCCAGGCCACTGCTCTCTCCCAACAGAGAACAACTGCACTGCACTACCAAAACCACTCTCAGCCCAACAGTACTTACATACACAAGTCATGAAATGTGCACATTGCACAAGACACTTGCTATTGTGACATATTTACTTACAGTTGACTTTATCTGTTCCAAATAATCTTCCTCCATCTTGTCAAGACGAGTGTTGGTGTCCTCCAGCAGCTCCTGCATATCTTCTGTGTGCTTCTTCTGGATATTGAACTTCTCCTTTTCCATTTCAGCCACTGCATTGTGAAGCTGCATCACAAAAAATGTTAGGAAATAAGGGGTATATAAAACCAGCATTCATAAATATTGTATTATTATAGTATAGAAACAGAATAACGGAGAAGCAGAGTCTACAACAAAACTAGATCATTGTCTCACTAAATAGGTCTATTATGACTCTACGAAGCAGTTATTTAGGAGTATGAGCAAGTCATAGAATCATAGAATAGCTTGGGTTGGAAGGGACCCTCAAAGGTCACCTAGTCCATACCCTCTGCAATGAGCAGGGACATCTTCCACTAGATTAGGTTGCTCAGAACCACATCCAGCCTGGCCTTGAATGTCATTTAAACGTGTAAGTAATATTCAAATGCATAACTTAATCCATACAGAATGCTAAGCCACATTTTTGCCACTCTGATACACAGTTTGCTTGCATATTTTAAACTGAACACCAATGGGTGTTGCACAAAATTAACGACTTTCTATTACAGAAACACTAATACTCTCCCCACTTACTCACATTGGTGGTTTATCTGCCTCTCAATTTGTAAGAAGCTGGAGAGCCCTGGCCATCTACTTGTCTAATAAAAGGATTATTTTTGTCATTACTAATGCTTGGTTTATATTCTAAACACCAGTGGCCTCTCTTTCTAGTTAAGCAGCCTTAAATCAAAGTTGTCTGTCTAAACAATAGTAAAGAATAATGTCACGTGAAATTAGCATACAAAACTTGTCTGGGCATTGGTTGTGTAACAGCTACTGTGTGTTTCTCAAGTTCCTAACAAATCCATTTCAGAGCTGAAGGCAAAAACTGCAATATGGACTCTAAAAGCATCTTTCTAAATGCACTGCTAAAGTCAGGTTAATTTGCACAAATATAGAGGTTTCCCTCCAACACATGGAGAAGCAGAAAGTTACTCATTACCCTGCCTACTGCCAGAGCAAAGGATTTTCATCATGTAGAGTTCTGGAGGTGTCTGTGAAGCTGGACCATGATTTAACAGACTTCAACAGCGTGAACTGAACATAGAAGCTTTCATCCAGAAACTCGTGAGGGTTTTCTATTCTATGATTGTATCATTCTATGCTTCATCCAAAGGAGAAGAATGCTAATAAATTATGGTAAATACCATGCATACACTGTGGGGTTCAGAAGATCTGTTGAATCCCAGATCCTTTTAAAAACAATCAAGGAAAACAAATAAATCACCATTTCATCTCCAGGTGCATGAGCTATAAACAAACCCCAAAATCCCGAGAATGTCTCAACCTCCTGTACACCAGACTACAATAATATTTGCCTTATTGTCAGCAACATCTATTCAAACAGCTTGTATCTATATACAGAAGGAAGTAATTATAAAGCTATTAAAATATTGCATTGTTACTGTAAAAGTTAAAGCTTTTACTTTATTTCCACCATAATTCCCACTATCTCCACTTTTTTCCATTAGATACATGCTCTGATTTCACTTCTGTAATTCCATGAAGTTAATACTAGCATTTCAATTTGCCCTCTTGTTTGCACACTGGCATCACTGATGACAGTTGCAGCTGAAGGAACAGCACTTGCCAGGTAACTGCAAAAAGGGGAATGACCTCGGGCTGAAAGTAATGTTCCTCTAAAACAAGAAAACCCCACCTCATGGTGAAGCCTCAAGGACTTAAGCACAAAGGACAAGATTTATGACTTAGCTCTTACAAGGCATGAATTAAAACCAACATCACTTCCACACACAGAGCTGCAAAACCCCATCTATGAGGGAGGTGGTTTTACCCTTTTGGTGACCCTTCCTCTCCTGAGAGGGGCAAGAAAGAAAAAGCCAACAGTAATCAGGAGAAAGGTGAAGCTGTCTCACCATAAAGATGCTTTTCCCTCTGCTTTGCTGCTGGCTTGAGTGTAACAATACATAAAAACACATTGATGAATTCATGACCCATTGCAAAAGGAAGAGTTCAAAGGGAGCACTGTGGCAGCAGGTAGCAGCAGGTTTACCGAGATTAAAAATCCATGTCAGGTCAACCAGAAACAAACAGCTCTCTAATACGTCCCAGGACTTGCCAAGAGGGCCAGATGAACCCCAAGAATAGAGTGCCCAGCTGCGGGGTGCAGGGGTGTGGGCATCAGCAAAGAGTCTGGCAACATGACTCCAGTAACAAAAATAAGATCAGCAGAAGAAAACAGCCCTAAAAGTATTCCTTCTATTTCAATTTTAAAGCAACAAAATGCATTTTCCCACAAATACACTGTAGGAATCTTTCAAAGAAAGCAAGTTATTCCTTACCCTTTTCTCCCACTCATTTTTCAAAGACTCATTGCTTTGCTCACACATCTTCTTTAACTCCACAATCTGCTTCTCCTTTGCTTCTCTGATGACTTGCAACTCACGAAGAAGGGTCTGAACTGTCAAAGACAGGGAAATAAAACAACCATTCAAGACATAACTTTGGGATTTACCAGTGTTGTCAACAGATGCAATTGGATTATATCAGTTTTCCAATTGACCTGGCTTTCTGATGGTTGTTTCGCTCTTAAAAATACTTAATGCACATGCTCCTGGAAAATGTAGCACTTGAATTCTGTATTCCTCTTCTCTATTTACAAAATATTTCATAGTGAGTTTTCCTTATTGAAGTAGTATGTATACATCAAAATTCCGTATAACCTAAAGAAAATGGGCATTTCTACCCTGAGCTTACGTGCATCCTTAGGAGAGAAAGTTCTTGTGAAGGTTGAATGCCCAAGATACACAAGGAAATTAAGTTCCCCAATTTAAATTGCAAGTGATTGCATCACGAATTCAGCCTGACAAATTCTATGGAAAACAAAGCAGGTACATATCCACTTTTCAAAAGTCACTGATTATTTTCACTCTGACATGAGTGTAGGCGACTTGAACACAACCTGTTATAGCCGAGCGCAACCAACGGAAGCGCCAGATCCCTTCCTGGACAATTTACTTTGACAAGGAGCAGGAAACAATATACATGGAATTCACTTGCTTTTAGTACGTAGATTGCCAAACTTGTGGATTATTTTACATTGTGGTTTAGTCCATAGAGTAAATGGACTCCAAGGAATTCTAAAAGAAAATAACATTTGAAAACTGCTGACAAGCCACACTCAGGCCAAGTTTGTGCTTATGACATATTCAGGATGACTACTCCTGTTTGAACACTTGCTGTAACAGTCCTAAATATGTTGTGGTTTGATTAAAATGTACTGAACATATAAATAAATCAACCTTGAGCCGGAGATTCCAGAAGGTTTGAAATAAGTGGTCAAACTACTTGGGAATCATCAAAGAAACTTTTTCTGGTGACGCTCATGAAACTTGTGAGTATGAAATAGAACAGCATCACTCTGCCTCTTGGAAAATATGGTTTGGAAACTGGACAGCAAAGATCCAGGCAAACCTCTAAAAACGTAAAGGGAAGAGGTCAAGATCTGCAGATGAAGAGGAAAGGGACATCTGCACCTAGAAGGAACACGTAAGCCCATAGCCACAAGAAGGATGCAGCACAATACCACCATGCAGAAATCCATCACCATGAAGATAAAAAGCACCTTTAGTCTCCAGTTTTCTAATGGTCTCCTCAGCTTCATTTTGTTTGGTTTTGTAGAGGGACTTCAAGGTTTCTATTTCATCATTCTTTCTATCCAAAATCTGTAGGGAAAATTCATAATACCTTATAAGAAATCCAAAAAACTCCATAACTACAATGAGTACATAAATAATAGACACTGATCTCTGTCAATGGAGTGCTTAGGTCAAGCAGGACGAGGTGATCAGATCTTCACAGCTAAGTCTGCCAAGTCCTAAACAAAGGATTGATTTAGATGAATGTAGTCAGCAATGCTGATTTAAAAGGACACCCATGTTTTAGGTTGGTGTTTTTTCTTTTCTTTTAAATTTGGGCAAACCCAATGTTACTTTTGTTGAGTTTGGAAGTTTCATGGTGCTACTACTGCAAACACAAAGGATTTGTTTCCTTTTTCATTCTTATGTTCCCTAATACTATTTAATAGCATCTGCAATTCCACCAGCTTTAAGAAATGAGTAACTGGTGAACTGCATTACACTCACCAAGTGCAAATCTTTGCATGTATTCCATGAAGCAATGACTGGGAATACAGCAAGTAGATGAGGTGTAACTACATCATCCACTGTTCCGTACACGCTGATTTGGGGGGATAAAAAACGCTGGAATATTTGCACACTTTGAGATAGAATTTTAATTTAAACTTCATGTTTAAGATAAACATTAAAGTCAGAAATTTTATAACAGTGCCCCAAATCTCGCATCAGCAGAAGCTTTCATCTTAAAACAATATTACCCCATCTGCATTAAATGTTTTGTGTCTTGCAAGATTAATATGACACTATTTAACCTCTTCAAAAATATCCAGTGTTATTAAACAACTTCAAAAGATTGAATTTTAACATCAGTTAAGGAAGGGCTGACAACTCCAGGGATGAGAAAGCATTGAAAACTCTTTCTTATTCTCAAAAAGCCATTTCCTTTAAGCTCTCGGCTTTGCTAGCCAGTTGTGCTTGCAGACTTTGAGACCAGATGAGCCAAATATGCACCTGACCAAATATTAACATCCTTTCAGGAGGCTTTGATGTGTCATAGTGTTGTGTCAACTCACTTCCTCCAAGTCTGTGACTCAGCCTTAAGAAACAACACAAGAGGTACTCCGTAATGCAAAGCTTACAGTAGGATCAGTCAGCACAACCCTGATGCTGAGCATCTAACAGGGATCTCAGTGCTCAGGAGGTGCTTAGGACCTGGCTGAATTTTATCCCACATGTATAAAACATGGCATTAAAAGTAACAGTATGGTCTTTGAGAGGCTTTCTATAATCTTTCCTAAAGTGGTGTTACCCAACACAATAAAGACAAATCCAGCCTAACCCAAAGGAAGTGTATCTGGTGTCACTTTATTGCTGTGAAGAATTAAAAGCCACATAGAGCTTTTACAATGCAATAACATAAATAACGAACTGTTTATTGACCAGCCCATGCTTTAAGATACAGTGTCAAATGAAGACATAAGAACAAGCCCTACTCTGTATTAAAAGGAACACATGGGATACACTTGTGGATTTTCCTACTGTTATTTTTTGCATTCTGTCCATAAAAATTTAATTAAGTGGTTTTGTTCCCATTTCTCTGTAATACAAGCGCTAGAAGAGAAATCAGGGGCTTACATTTCATCAGCACAGGAACCCACAGAAGCTGTTAGGCTGGTACAATAGGCTGTCTTGTTCAAACAAATAAACAAATCACCTTGTATTTTCATCTGCTTTCTGCACGTGTTTCTCTTTTCCTAAGTTTATGTTTGCATAGAATATTCGGCATTCCTATCAGCTTATGAAACCTTTCCCTACAATCTTACTTTCAAGGGACATTAACTGCAACTGTGAAGAAGTTAAACTACAAGTGTTAATTCTTTATTATAGTCAGATTCCCCATTGTCTTAATACAGTAACTTGGGAAAAAGATACCAGCATTTCTTACCTTTTGAACATCAGCATCATGCTTCTGCTGTAATTTAAGTTTGTCTTCATGAAATTTACCTTCTGCTATTTTCATTTTAATGTCCAGCTTTAAAAGCAAAAGGGAGATATATAACTGCATTAAAATAAAGAGCAAATTACACTAATGACCTTTATATAACTTCTGGATTATTCATGTACGTATTGAGAACAGGAAGTCACTAACAAATAAGTGCTATGAAAAACTTTACATTCAGTTTCTTGGTATGTTCACATTTATTTGCTAAGAGTGTTAGAAAAGATGTCAACCTAAATGTAGATGTTTTACTTGGCAATAAAACCAACTGCTACTGCCCAGAAAAAGCTATTGTCCTTTATTTAAATAAACACTTCAGAATGAAGCTTTTAATACTTCTGTTAATACACCAAGTACGGTAAACTTGCTTTTATTCTAGAGGCAGGTGTCACATTTATATAAAGACTGTCCTTTAGCCCAGATGCGTGTTTATTTGTGTTTGTTTTCTATTATTCATCTACATCATCAACACATTTCCTTTTCAAGGTTACTTATAATGGAATTAAGGATATCACTGCTGGATTTGATTGCCAACATGCATTTCCTGCTTTTGCTTGTGTTTCTTCCAAGTAGTGTACTTGAACCCTCCGACACAATAACACACTGCCACTTCTTAGAGACCCAGTTTTCCCTTTAAGGTGTTAAATCTGCTGCATATTTTCACTATGCCTGTCCTCAGCACTGCAGACATGACAGGTATTTCGTGCTTCTGTCTTCTAGAAAACCCAAGCGACAGCTCAAGTTCAGATTCAGGCTATTCCTCTTCTACATTTAATCACTGCTTCTGTTCCCAAAGCAAAGTGGACAGAAAAGCCTCCTCAGAGTGACCGATCCCAACAACCTCCCTTGCTTGCAGAGAGCATTATTCATTCTGACTTCTTTTTTATTCCTTTGGCTTCTCAAAAGTAGCCATTCAAGAATGAATCTTCATCTAACACATACAAACAATAAACACGCTGCAAGTTCTTAAGCTCTTCCATACGATTACTTTGTGTTATATTTGCTTATTGTGACTTAGAAGTGAGCTACAGAATCCAAGTCAACTTGGAAATGCAAAACGCTGTGCAGTAACTATAGGATACTCCTCAAGAACTGAGAACAGAAGCAGGAAGAGCAGCAAATTCTTTCCATTTCCAGACTTTACATCCACTGATACCCAAAGCATACGCCTGCTTATTACACTGCATGCAAAGAGGCCACCTCTCTTCCCAGACTAAATAGGTACACAGTCTTATGCAAAGTAGCAGGGGGGAAGAAGTTAGCTTGACAATTAATCCGAAGAAAACAGATCATATTCTGAGCTGTCAACTGTCTCTTTTATCATCCAGAAATAAGCATCACAATAAAGCGTGTGTTCTATTCATGAAATAGACTCCTATGTATATACGAAAAGAAATGTATGCATATATCCCCCTAACAAAGTGACATTATAGAAGAAAACCTTAGTACCAGCTGATAAATAAATGTTGATTTTAAAGAAGAGCACAGCAATCCACTTCCACATAGACAGTTTGTGAACATTCCATAAATAAACATGAAGGTGTTGTAAAAACACAGATACTAGAAACTAAACATGAAAGACTCCAATCTACCTGAATTACATTAAAAGCTTATGAATTACTGATGTATAGCTATTGTATTCACACAGCTATTAAATCCACACAAGCACATAACATTTAAAACTCATTAATAAAGTGATGAGGTTTTGGCTGATGTAAATTAGTCCTCAGTGGTTTGCATCAGCTGAAATCCGGTCCACATACTATTATTCAACAGGTTGAAGGAACATAAAGATCAATCAAAAGCTAAAATTTGCCTTGCATTAAATATAGACATGGATTTCCAAGTGATGGTGACTGGTCTCAGCCATGTGGCTGTTTTGCCACAGGTTGACAGCAGAAAACCCTGCACTTGAAGTTGGCTCCCACTCCTGGTCATTAACCTCCCACTTAGCACCAGTCTTGCACTTGTACTTGTTCTCATCAATTTTAATTCGTTCATCCCAATGCTCCCAGTAGAGCAGCCATGCCCTAGGATTTGGGACTACTTTCTAAAAAGGAGAGGAAGCTGCAACCAAGCAATGTGAAAAACATGTCCAAGATGCGCAAGTCAGCTCTGAAGGAAGGCAAACGCTGTAACAACAAAACAATTACTTCTTTCTTTAAATATTAAAAACAAGATTAAAGAAAATAAATCTCTTTCTTCTCTTGAAAAATGCCAAGGACCAACTCCTCACCAGCTGAGGGCTCTGAAGGTGACACCTTCAAAAGCGCCCATGGTCCTCAGCTTCTATAAACTCAATGAAATTCTGAAGTTTCAGTGCTGTTTTTACTGCCCTCTTTGCTTCATCCACAGCTTCCATTTTGTCCCTTTAGGGAACTCCTCACATTTACTTGTGTGTTTGAAATCCAGGAGTTGATGTGCACACAGGTTTCTAGCCTTAAGAGGAAAGTTGTATTCGTAATGAGTAATTGGTCAAAAAACAGAATAAAATAGGAGACTCTCCAACATCATTTCAAGTTCATAATGGTCCACAGCTCCATGACACAAACGTACCTTCACGTATCAACTTCTGGAAGTGTTCATTTGAGCATGTGCTGTCAAAATAAAGATATATCGGTTTAAAAACCCTACACTTCAGATTTTCCCTGTGGAAAAGTGCAGGAAAAGCTGGAAACATCCATACAGCAAAACAGCGTCCTACAGCAGAGCCTGGAATACTGGCTTCCTGTCAAAATCTGCTTTTTGACCCACCCTTTGCATAAGATGGAATTCCAACCTCACCACATAAGGAGATAAAGAAATAGAGTCACGTAAACACATTTTTCACAGTGCTCTCATGAAGTCTGGGGATGAAGTAAATGTGCTCATCACAAGTGGGAGTGAAGCTTCTCCCCTTCCATTTTGAAGTTTAAACACGTTATTAAATGCTGATTTCAATAAAGGAGTTATCCTTCAAATGAAAACCATACCACGTATCTGTAGTTACCAAACATCAAACCTCATTTGCAAAGTTAGTCTCAGTGTCCTATGCAACAGCACCCTGTAACTTTTGTGCTACCTTTCTATACGGCACCCTTTCCACTTCAGCTGTTATTTCATTTATTAAACACATATTGAGAAACAAAATAACCTACAACAGCATCAAAACCCTTTGTGAGTTTTAGAGAAAACAGATAAAAACCACTTAGTAAAGTCATTCACCTTGTTAGAAGCAATTAACTGCGCTCATGCTCATCAGGTTTAATAGCTTTTATTACTAGTTAAGAGGCAGCAGAGAACATTGAGTTTCTGGCATGGTACCATTCAGACAAAACCCCAAAACAAAACTAAAACAAGAATATTTAGCTATCGTTGAGGAGTTTGCAACTATGTATGAAATGCAGCCATTGCTGCTGCCTGCACATCATTCCTTTGGATTTCTGTCATTGTTTATTCTCCTTACAAAGAGTATGAGGCAATTAAACCCTAAGGCCATGTAAACAACACTGATGTCAAACATCTGTGCTGTCCCTGTTATTTAAAGCCATGGAGGGTGGTATCAACAGAACTGCTTTTAAGTGCCTAGTCACACTTTCTTCCTAATTTAAAACAACAAAACACCACCAAAAGCAGTAAATAGTTACCGAAAACAGGGTTTCATCATATCACTGTCCTGTACTTCATAGCACGGGTTAGGTGCTATGAAAAAGGACATAACAACTGTCAGACTTAAACTGATAGAGTCTGATCTGCAACTACCATAAATCTGGGGGGGGTGAAGGTGATATCTCAGATTTTCATGACAGAAGAGAACCGTTTACCTTGTCACCAGTTACAAGAACCTGTAGAAATGCTTAAATACCCAATTCGAAACTACGGCAATCATTAGATTTACAACATCAACCCGAGATAACTTTGAACTCCTCACTGTTCACTTGTCCCTCTTACAGGGAATGCCCTTAGGCCAGAGGTGGCATCCTGAAGGTTTCACATCCATCAGAGATCTTCTCTGGCTATTTGACAAAACAGTACTTGTGGCTTGCCAGGGCTATTTCCAAGCCTATGAATACATGGGGGAGGGAGGGAGGAAGCCAGGAAGGGGGAGAAGGATGTAAACAATAAATGAGAACTTCAAAGTAAGAACTAACAATGTGGAACAATGGCTTGTGTATCTTACAATATAGGACAAAACTTATTTGTCTTGGTGTTAGGCAGCTGCTAAAAGAAATCAGCGCACAACACAAAGCTTTGATATTTCCACAGAAGAAAAACGTTTCTTAAGCAAACAGCCACAAAACCAACAAACCACCAGGACTTTCTACTGGGTTGTGTTTGCTCCATTTTCACATCCAGGGTTATAAAAATAAATACTGATAATGTATACAGAGGTTTAAACTATACAGGCAGACCAAGGCAGGAGATACTGTCCTGGCAAAGCAGTCAAGATTTATTCCACATAAAGACACGCTGACTTCAGGCAAAAGTAATTTAGGACAATGCATTTCACATCATAAATAACAAGCTATATTTTCTCAGTGTTATTTATATAGCTTATATTGGATCCACAAAAATATTTAAGATTAACTTTGAAGTGTATTAATATTTTAAACATTTAGAGCAAGTGAAGAGTCAGAATAACCACCTAAATACCTAAGTCACTGTTGTGGAATAATAAAGGAAGCAAATTCATCCTTTATAACAACTGATTTTAATAGAAACTTCTATAGTACATATAAAGTTTAAATCATATTGGACTAATCTTCCAGTTTCAAAACTGAACTGCTGAAGAGCTTGCACTGAGTTTACAGCATGCAGAAAAACACTCCCCACTTCCAACTTCATTGCACTCAGATGTCTGTAACCATCACGCTTGTCACATGATGAATAACTTAATATCGCATCTTATATTTAATGAGCAACTTCTACCTACTTGCTTAAGCAATTCTGCAGATCAATATCTGCTCTTGAAGTGGTTTGAAGTGAAGAGGGGCACACATTATAGTATGAAAAGAAAGTGGGAAGGGTCAAATATGTCAGATGCACATTGAAAT